TTTAGAAAGAAAGAAAGAAAGTAAATTTCATTCTTGGACATTTTGTCATCTCAGAATAACTATAGTGAACAAAGAAATGACAACTGTCTGGCAATTATGAATAATTAAATGACAAATAATAATAAATTAATTTACAAAGTTGTCTAAGCTTAATATTAAAATAAAGAAAAGACACTGTAGTAAACATGTGATCTTGAAGTAAAAATATGAATTAAAAGATGAATACATACGGGTGAGTTCACGTGTTTCTAAGCAAATAAACATATATGACACATAAATAGATATCTGTATACTGTAAGATATCGGTATAATGTAGCTGACATCTCTAAAGTACAAAATAACTTTATTTTTAAATATATTCGGAAGATTGATTACTGAGGAGATGGAAAAATAAATTGTGTTTAAATGAGGTCAAGGATGAAGATTTCCGTATATTCCGTGATGTGCAGGATAACCATCCAATTGAGGCCACATGTCTCTTCTCAGTTGTTGTGGAATATGTTCAAATAAATCATTGTAATCATTATTAAGGAATTCCAAAAATGTTCCAGCATCGAGTCGAGGCGGAAAAAATACAGACCTTTTAAAGTATTGTCAATTATACCCAACCACACATTGCACTGAAACTAGTGCAGAAAATTACTGATTACAATTAATTATTAAAGTAGTTAGTACAAATAAATAGGTGTTATTTATTTCATAAAACGTAAATAATTCATTACAACGAAAATCTTGGTGTGAATATGTCCATTTTTTTTTTATCCTCCTGCCTGTCCATTTCTGGCTTACGGGGTTCGGTGACAGTAGGGTAGTCCCTAACAAAAAACTCTTTTTTTTTTCTTTTTTTTATATCTGTTTATTTATAAATTTGTCATGATTTCAGGATATTTATTTTTGGGAAAAATTATGGGTAACTGCGGTTGCACGCCTTAGGAAGGGACTGCACCTTCTCTTACTTCTTCTTCCTCCGTCGCTTCCCTGTGCCCAACTATCTTTTCGCAGCTCAGGACTACATGCTCCGCCGTGTCCGAAACCCCACAAGTGGGGCACAAGGGGTTTATGTTTTTCCCATGCTTATTCAGTTTGGCTCCTCCAGTTTGGCCATCTAATTCTGAAACACCCTGTATATTGAGCTATGTTGTGTTCTTCATATTTAGACTTTGTTTAACATGTTACCTCGTTTACGGTCCCCGGGGTCTGTTATTCGTCTGGACTCCCAAATGGCCGGGATTGTTTCGTATTTTGTCTATCTTATGAAGTCTCTAAAATGGCAATTTTTACAAATATTTGAATGCGAGTTGGATAGATGTAAAGATACGAGCGTAAATAATCATTATATCTGAAAAAAAACTTTCGGATGTCGGAGACCGATACCGTACCACACTGATAAAAAATGAGTTTTCTGCTGTGGCAGTGCAGATGCATGCTATTGTCTTCTTAGTGCTTCTGTCGCGCAGTAGCTCTTAAGAGTTCATCTTAGATCGTTCCCCTTAGTTTTTTTTTTTAAATTTTATTTCTTAATGACATTTACAACTGTATTACATAAATACATCAAGTAAATTTGGATATAATAGATATAATGACATGAATACACTTGCTGAGTAACTACCCAATGGTAACACTCTAATCCTTAGTTATTTAACATGTATAAATAAATAAACAATAACATACATATAAATAATAATTATATGTAATAAACAAACTTTTTCTCATTTAGTTTTCAATATTTAAGATTTATATTCCTAACAATAACACTTGTTTACTAAAATAAAAAGAAATAATAAAAAATTGTCATATAAACGGCATCGGACATCGGAGTTCGTTCCTACGATTTCTGACAATTAATAAGGCCACAGTCAACAAATAGAGACTCTGAATAGGGAATTTAATTCACCTTGGTTGTCGAATACCTCGAAACTGATGCATGTCTCCGGCGTCCGATGCCGTTAAGAACTTCTAAACTAGTGTCGCTCGCCGGGACTAATATAGTCGGGAAAGACATTTAAAAGGTATCATGCTCAACAGCTAACGTATTAAGAACAATTTTGTTTGGACTCAATTTTGTTAAACCTATTCTTCCTCACCAAGAAAAAATATTGAAATGTTAGTTTCCCGTCGAACCATTTCTGTTTGTCCGCAGTCTTAGTTAAGTCACAGTGGTAAAAGGTTGTGTACTAAGACGAAACCGGAATTGCTCTGTTGATTTCAGAAATGTTTTACAGCCTGAAATAGATTTATGAAATTGTATATAAGATTTGACCTCATTTTCATTTATGGCTCGGGAAGGCTTAGTCGTTTTCCGATTGGTTGGATCCTTTAGAGCGTGGAATCCTATTGAAGGACGACAATAAGCTCGCGGCGTTGCAAAGCCCAGCACTTATGCTGATTAGTCCCCGGTGGTCGAGCGGGGAAATGTTCCGTCCAAAAGCGTGTGACGTTGCCCAGGAAAGAGCCATCGATCCTCTCTTCTCGTGTTGTCTTTTAATAAGGACACAACCTTTTAAATCTTGTCCCCTCTTCTCGCTACGTTTATTAACTGCCTCAAGGACTCTTTCGAAATTTTATAAAGGTTCAATTAGGGAAATATTCAGATATTCATCGGAGCGTGGTAGGGAGAGACGAACTTCTCATTTCTCGGCTCGGGAATTTCAGAAATCCCCCTTTACCCGAGGAAAGATATTGTCGCTTTCTCGGTAATACTTTTGTAAAAGTTCAAAATATAAGCGATTGCAAATTGCATATTATATAGATGAGAAGTGTTCACTATGAAAATTATGTAATTCTGCATTGCAAAAGTTGTAAAAAATATAAAAGAGCTATAAAATTTATTGTCACTGAAAAAATATTAGATATAGTCCTGAATTTTTTTTTTTAAATATTGCTAAATATTTTTTGGATTACTCCTTGCCTAACCATTTATGGCATTTGGGAAAGAGTGGGGTGTTGTGCTAATAATATACTACCAAATCTATTCCAACGAAAGTTGAAACACCTAGGTTCATTCGACAGATCTTCCTTGAAATAAATTTCAACCCGTTTAGGCCGGATTCGATCCGGCGTCTTTAAACTCGAAAATGCTAAAGCAGCACCTTAACACTTTTGGCCATTATGACCTCCAACTAAATGAGTTCAGAATCGATAAAAATACATAATTAGACCCGATTTATATAGAGATTTATATATGTTAATATGCAGATATGTTAATAACAATAATTATAATATATTCTTTATCCATTTGATTTTCAAAGCATGAGAGGAGTTCCAAAATTTAAATAAAGATAAAGAGGTTCAGTAACATTTTTTAATGTAAATTAACTTTATCTACTTTAAGGCCCACATTTGTCGTCAATCGACACTTCTATCAACTCCACAATAGACAGAAAATCTAATTTGTGCTGATCAAAAGAAGAAATAATACGAGTATAACACTCTACCTCTTTATTTTATTTTTATTTTTTTTTTATTTGTCTAAGGAAATTTCTGTAGAAATAAATATAATGGTATAATTAACAATGTTAGATCTTGAGTCTAGTACTGCATTCATGACTAATATATATAATAACAGATTAGTAAACGATATATATATGAAATATATATGAAAAAAAAAAAAAAAAAAAAAAAAATATATATATATATATATATATATATATATATATATAACAATTAGTAAAACATGTTTGTTTTTCCAATAATACTTTTTTTGTTGTAATATTCCAGAGGTATAAGACAAATGACAATATAAATAAGCATTAATATATGTTATATGATTAACTATACCAGTTCAATGAACAGCCCTGTATGAAATAATACAGTTGGTTTATTTATTTATTTATTTTTTCTACCTCTTTATTATCAGTAATAATACATTTTTTTTTATTAAAAAGCCCTTCAATTGTATTTTAAGCAATACGTCTCTAATTAAGTGGCTTTATTAATCTACAAAATGTTATGATATAATACCAAAAGGTTGCTGCTCTCTTCCAGATTAGCGCTTTAAACTACATTAATTTGTATTTATTATTTATATTTATATTTCTGTCCGTTAAAGAAGGAACACAATCAACTTAAAAATATATTAATTATGTATATGAAGACTAGATACTACAGACGAGCTTTATCTTTATGGCACCCATTTGCAAAGAGTGGATCGAAAGTCCACAGCCCCTTGTGTGTTAGTATTGCCCCTAACCAACGCTAACATGACTTTTTTCCTCCGCAATGCTTTATTATTAATTAAAGAATACTCACAATTTTCGGTCAAAATTATTTATGAATTGTGTAAAATGGCTTTTATTTCTTAAATGACATATTAATATTGATTCATTACGAGGTCACTGTTCCTTATGTTTTTAATATTAATTTTCACATGATTTGTTATATAAAACAAATAGTCAAATTCCTTTTTGGATATGGCAATTGTAGTTGCATTGACCACATGGTCCTATTTGAAGCACTCACATTAGAAAAGTTGAAAACATATATAAACATTTTTTTTTTCAAATATCAAAAGCAGCTTTATGTTCCGAATAATTTTCAAGGTAAAAAAAAAACCTTTTTAAAAAAGCAAGAGCAATTATTTCCTTCTTAAGAAAATAATTGTATGGAAATATTAAAGTGGTAAATTAACTAATAATCAAATTAATTAACGATTCATAAGGTATGAAATTAATAATCTGTCTGGTTAGGTAATGAAAAAATAATTATTTGAACAACTTTTTAGTTTATTTATTTATGTTTATTTTAATATTGAAATTGCCGTTGATTTCATTGCTATAATTACCTTATTAATAAAATATTCTTTTTTAGTAACGTTTTTATATTGAAAGACGTAAATGATGATTACTCACCATTTTAAAAAATTAATGAATAGATTAAGTAGTATTATGTATTTAAGTATTTAGTAGATACGAAATAAGACTAACAATATATAGTAACTTTCAAAAATGTTGAATAATGTTTTTCGTATAGTGACATTGAAGAAACAAATGATTAAACACACACAAATGTTAGAATATATTTATTTTTGACTTTTAGAGGTTTAGTTGAAACAGTTAATTTTTTAGGTTAGGAAGATATCAGACAATTTATGAAGAATTATTTTTTATGAAAAAATGACTCTAAGGTAGTTAGTCATTTTTAATTATTTATCTAAATTAGTAATTTTCAGTAAAAAATGACTATCAATGTTTCATTAAATCAAGGAGCAGTTATTTGAAAACAATTGCCATTTTCTGATAGCATATATATACATATATATGCGAATTTCGGCACCTTATAATTAACATGATGTCCATCATGAAGTTGGAATTACGACGAGTGAAGGTTATATGTTTAAATTTGATTTCATTGACTTTGATGCACCATTTCTGCCACCAGTGTTCAATCAGGGATAGGTGCCTTTGCAGGTTTATGGACACTGTTTCAGGATCCGAGTTGGAAGATAGGATAGCAGTATCATCAGCGAACGTTGCCAGGAGGGTATCAGGGAAGACGGGAATGTCAGTGGTAAGATGATGGAACCCAAGACGCTGTCTTGAGGAACTCCAGCCTCAATTGAGTAACAGTCGAAAAATTCTGTACCACAGCAAACTCGAAAGAAGCGGTCGGAGAGGTAGGATCGGAGTATTAGGTACTAGGACTGTGGTAGATGGGATTTGAGCTTGAGCAGTCCGGCGTGCCATACGCTTACGTGCCAAAAGCTTACGCTATGTCCAGAAATGTACTCGAGCAAAATTGCTTGTTTGTGGCCAACAACTCGGAGTCCTTGTTGGGTGGTGAATGTTTGGAACGAAATCCGAATTGATAGGTAGGCATTTTTCGGGAATCTCTTATGGATAGGATTCTTTTCAGTAAGATCTTATCAAAATTTTTCGAAAGAATTGGGAGTAGGCTAATTGGTCTATAGGATGATGTATTATTGGAAGGCTTACATGGGTTCAGGAAGTGGATGACGGTGGAATGTTTTCATAAGAGAGGGAGGTAGGTAGTTCACAGGATATCATCATGGCTTTGTGTGGTAGTTGTCGAAGGATCTGTAGGGTTAGAAAATCGTATCCAGGAGATTTACGTGGAGTAATTTTGCTTAATAAGTATTTGACCCCAGTTTTTTAAGTAGTAAGGAGAGTAGGATAGGTGATGAAAGAAATTTTTCTTTTTTTACTGTGTGGCTGAGATGAGATTCCGGATGAGGAGCGAAGGTAATTTAAAGTAAAGGTAAGGAAAGGTGTTTGGCAAATTCCTCTGCCTTGTCAACATCAGACGCTTCCCAGGTAGCATCACCTCGACGAAGGGGATGGGAAATATGATGGGATTTTAGGATTTTTCTTGTGGTATTCCAAAGGTAATCATCACGAGCAAAGAGGGGAGTGAGGTAGGAGTTGAATGATCGGGATCTGAAGGTGGCTAATTCTAGGTTTTATTTTTTACAGAAATAATTGTAGGAATGGCGGTCGGCGGGATGTCTGATACGTTGCCATAATAATTTGGCACGGCGTTTTATATGGATTAGGTCAAGGAACTGTTGAGGTAAATTGGGTTTCTTAAGGATTTTTGAGGAATGATCAGGAGGGAAAGCCGCCCAGACTGCTTTCTGGATTTTAATATAAAATATTATCTCAAAAAAGTATTGTTGTATTCACTTTAACACCATTCCTTATAGGTAGTTAGTTTAACGTTATATATATATATATATATATATATATATATATATATATATATATACATATATATATATATATATATATATATATATATATATATATATATATATATATATATATATATATATATATATATATATATAAAGTTTTCGGTATTATGCCCCCAAAATTAATTCATGGATCCGCTAATGGTTACATTATACCTAAAATACATATCTTACTAATTTTATTTTATTTTATTTTTTATTTTATTGAAATTTACAACTGTATTACATGGAAAATACAATAAGTAAATGTGACATTGGTAACATGACATGTACAACATAAAGAGAAACTACCCATTGGTAGAACTCAAATTAAAGTTCTATATTAGAAGGTCCCGAGGCCATCTTCTTTTCAGACGCGTCGGAGGATTATCACGGATCGAGGAGAAAGCAAGGTTTGAAACGAGAGGATTCGGATGGTTCTGCAGTTTATTATAGAAGAACAGGTATCTGGATTAGGCCAAATCGGAAACAGAAGGAGGTCTTTATGGATGATTTTATTTGTGACAAAGTAAGGAGCGTTGAGGATTTTACGAAGGATTTTGGATTATAAGGATTGGATACGAGAGGAATTCGATGGTTTAGTGAAGCCCCAAAGCTCAATTCCGTAAGTCCAAATAGGTCTTATTATTGTCATATATATGAGTCGTTTGTAATTGATTGTGAGCTTAGAGCGTTTATCTAGTAAGTGCTGCAGTTGTCGAAAACGTCGGGCGGTTTCTAGTCGTTTCAGTCTGGTATGGGGGTTCCAAGTGAGTCGTTTGTCAAGGTGGAGTCCTAAGTATCGGATTTGTTCGACAGGTATAAGAGGGCTATTGTTGAAGGATACTGTAGGACAGGAAGTCATAGGTTTACGGCGAAGTGAAGGTAATTTGATGGGATTTATTGGAATTTATTTTAATCCTCCAGTTTTGACACCATTTTTCAAGACTTGTGATGTGTGATTCAAGAGTTTGGGATGCAATAGATGGATCGTTATTAACTGATAGGAATCTTACTAATTTAAAAATGATATAAGCCTTATTATGAATTTCAAGAGTTTTTTCTGTATTTCAGGTCTACATAGATAAAAGGGATTTACAGAAGAAATAATCAATCTAGTGGTTTGATACACTTCTTTTAATGGATGTAAGTAAATAAATTCGTTATTAAATAAGTAATCAATGAAAATAAGTGTCATAAAATGTGATGTATTTAATGATGCACTGGGATGGTTCAGCTAGTTGGTTCCTTTCGAGTCACTGCAATCATTAATAACAGTGATTGTAAATTTGTATCTATTATTATTTATACTATTATTATACGATTATTATTTTTTGGGAAGAGAATGCATATAAAAGTGAATTAAACGCATTAATAAGTTATTTTATCACAATGATAATTATTTTTATTTCCATAAAAATATTTTTTTTTAGTTCATTATTGAAAATATAACGCTGGTAATAACGTATCAAAATACTATACATGTTCATTTATTTAAAACAGGTTTGATCTTATAGATTTCTTTGTAAAATAGTGTTTTACTGAGGAATTGTGGTTTTTCTATGTATATAATTTTAATTATTAATAAACCTTGAATTTATTGTTCAGAAATAGATTTTAATTTGATTTTAAAGCTTTAATTAAATAAATGAATGTCCGTAATTTTTTTTTTATTTTAAAAACACTCTAAGCAACTGGAGTAAGGGAGTAATACATGTACCTAGTTCTGCCATAAATACTGTTACAAAAGTTGAACTTTGTTTATATTCTTAGATATTATTTAGGTAATCCTTACTTCTAGTAGATTATTTTCTTTGTATGTCAGGATAATAATCCAATTAGTTTGTGTTTTTCTTTCGCTCAGTTAACATGGAGTGGGGTGATAAAAAAAACCGAATAGCTGTGATCGCCTTACACAAAGTTAGAAGATATAAGTCAGAGATTTTCAACACTTTAAAACATTTGGGTATCAACCGCATCTTCGTGTACTGCACTATAAATAGATATAGTGAGACCCTATCTGTATATGACAGACCTCGTCACCGCACTGTGAGAACGGCAAATGCAATGAGAGCAGTGGCTGCTTGATTAAGAAGAAATCCCATTCGAAAACAACAAATCATATCTGGGGAAATGGGAATCTCTGTCAGATCCAATATATCGTATAATAAAAAGTGGCCTTAGGATGGGTACATTTCGAAGAATGAAAGGTCAACGGCTAACTTCCCTAAAACAAATTACAGTGGATAGTTGAAAAGTGCTCCTTGGCCGTTGTACCAATTGTCTTCATCGAAAGAGTCTGCTTAGCGATGAAAAAAAATTTACAATTGAAGACAAATTTAATCGCCGAAATGATCTTGTGTACGCCCACAGCTCTGAAGAAGCCCAGGAAATCATTGGAAGAGTGGAAAAAGGTCCTCACCCTTCCTCAGTGATGGTTTGATGAGGAGTTTACTTTGATGGCACTACAAAGCTCCATTTTTGAGAAGACGGAGTTAAAACAGCCGCTAAAAACTATCAGGACGATATTCTGGAGCCTGTTGTCAACCCTCTAAAGGATACTCTGTTTGCTGGAAGGCAATGGGTTTTCCAGCAGGATTCCGCTCCCCTTTACAAGGCCAGGTTAACTCAGCAGAGGCTGCAAAAGAACATTCCAGACTTCATCTCTTCCTCGGATTGGCCCCCATGAAGCCCTGATTTCAATCCACTAAATTACCGGCTTTAGTCCGAACTGGAGAAAATGGCTTGCCACAGAGTACACCCTAACTTGGAAAGCCTCAAATAATCTCTGGTCCGGGCAGTTGAGCGCTTTCTTTAAGAAGTGCTGCGTGTTCCTGTTGATGACTGGCCACGCAGATTAAATGCCTGTGTCAAAGCAAAAGGAGAGCATCTTGAGTAATTTCTTTTTTATTTTACTCTCTATAGATATAAATTTTATTTCCTGATAAAGTTTTTGAAAAAAATAAGTTTTCTGTGGAAATCTGTATATATTTCCTTGTAAAAATATTTATGACAGGACAAGATATATGATTTAAAAAACTGGTTTCAATTTCTGATGTGCTTAATGCATTGGTGGGAAATAGATTCTAGTGTTATTTTAAAGATTTGAATAAGGAAATAAAGTTCCCTGTAGTCTTTTAATTTACGAAACTTGCTATATGAACAGAACAATCGTCGAAGTTTTATTATTATTTTTTAAAAATTGGTCTATAATGTGTTAACATAATGACTTTATATGTATAATTATTTTTTTTTAAGCAGTACTGATATGAATTTTAAATCTCGATACCTATTTATTTAAATAGGCTTTAATTTGCATAATAACTGCAATTTACATAAACTATGATAATGATATTTATTAGGATTAATTAACCAAGAACTCATCTTAACGTATTCTTACATTTCTAAGCAACATAAATAAAGATCGTGGCCATCTATCATCGACTCTAATTAATCATGTAATTAAGTCGATATTCTGATTGCTAGAAAAGTGTTCGCTTTACTGCAGAGCTGAAAAATTATTTAGTATTTTATTTTATCTTTTAAAGGAGAAACTCGAAAAAACACATGTTCGGGTAACTACAGTGTTGAATTTCGATGATTCGCATAGAGCAAATATAAAATATAATAATAGTTTTTCTTCTTTTGTTTCTACAGAGAAAACGCAAGGATGTTAGCTGTTCCACGAAAATAAGATCTATAATAAGAAAAATAAGTGACAATAAAAAATTGTTAGAGAAAATATTAACCGATTTAAGAAATACGACAGACGACGAGAGTTCTGACCTGTCTATAGATTTTGAAGGAGATTTTATAAATAATAAAGCAAGTGTCCAAAATATGTTTTTCATAAATTTGTGAAATTTAATTAATAACAGTGTTTATATGAATTTTATGTTTTAGGAGAAGTTACTGCTCTTGACTCGGAGTGAGTCGCGAAAAGAATCAGATTTAAAGAGACTAGCTCAAAAGTTATCATTTTTGGAACCGTTTCGCCAATATCCACAGGTAGGTTGACGAATACAATTTGGCGCAACAATTGATACTTTATAACAAAAAAGTAAATACAAAAAGGTAATTTTTAATAATAATAATAATTTTCTATTGTGAATTTTACTTATTGGGCGCTTGGCTATTTTTGACTTTAATCTCCTAAGAGAAAAACATAGGAAATACAAATAAATACTTACGTATTGTAACATTCATGCAAGCTACCCTACTAACTCAGATGAGAAGAATTTAAATAAATTTATTTATTTATTTTTTATTTTTTTTTTTATTGAGTATTATAACAATCTGTCTGTTGGACATTGGTTATAGTGAGGTAGGATGACATTCACACCATATGTACAAAAAAATAAAATAAATAGAACAAAATAATAATCAAAAGTATATACAATAGACAATAAAATAAAATAACCTAAAAAATAAGAAAATTAAAACTAAGGAAAAAAACAAAAAAAAAACACATGCATACCTATATACAATCAGGCGAGGGAACTCCAGGAGAACCCTGCGCTACTCTCCCAACCGCGTCACTGGTACTAAAGCCAGCGGAGATTGGTCGAGAGCACTTTAGCCACATACACACATGTCTTGAGTGAAGAATCTGGCCATTGCCAGAACTCCAATTTATATAATCTACAAAAGGTCGCGAGGCCACTGCCGTTTCAACCTTCTTGGAGGATTATAGGGATGGGAGATGCTTGATAGGGATTGTGCAAGAGGATTTGGGTGGTAAGTAAGGTTCTGGTGAAATTTGGAGAATTTTTCTGGGATAAGGTCTAGGACAAATGGGATGTTAAGGTCATGATGTAGGGTTTTGTTGGATACATAGAAAGGAGCATCGACTATTGTTCGAAGGACTTTAGACTGGAAGGATTGGATGCGCTTGATGTTAGAAAATTTTGCTGATCCCCACAGTTCTAGTCCGTAAGTCCAAATAGGTTTCAGTATTGTCTTGTAGATCAGTAGCTTGTTTTCAATGGAAAGTTTAGATTTTCTGCTTAGTAGTCGGTATAGTTGGCCGTATCGTCGGTTGAGTTCTTGTCTTTTGAGTCTAGTATGCGGGTTCCAAGTTAGTCTTCGGTCTAAATGAAAGCCAAGATACCGGACTGTGTCTGAATAAGGAAGCTGGATGGAATTAAAGAGTACTGGTGGACAGGAATTGCGTCGGAGTGTAAAGGTAATATGTTGGCATTTAGATTCATTAACTTTAATGCGCCAGTTATTACACCAGTGCTCAATCAAGGTGAGGTGACTTTGGAGATTTAAGGATGCTATTTCGGGATCAGAGTTGGATGATAAGATTGCGGTGTCGTCAGCGAATGTTGCAAGAAAAGTATCGGGATGAACAGGGATGTCAGCAGTAAAGAGGATGTAAAGCACGGGACCCAAGACGCTGCCTTGGGGAACACCGGCTTTAACGGAGTAGATATTGGAAAATTCTGTTCCACAGCGAACTCGAAAGGAGCGGTCAGAGAGGTAGGATCGGAGGACTAGGTACAAGGACTGAGGTAAATGGATTTTAAGCTTGGAGAGCAGTCCGGAGTGCCATACCCGGTCAAATGCCTGTGCAATGTCCAGAAAGGCACCCGAACAGTATTCCTTGTTTTCTAGGGCTGAGGAAATATGATCAACAACTCGGAGTCCTTGTTGAACAGTAGAATGTTGAGAGCGAAATCCAAACTGATGGGAAGGGATATTTTGGGATTCTATAATGGGTAGGATTCGTTTCAAAAGGATCTTTTCAAAAATTTTTGAAAGGATTGGGAGTAGGCTGATTGGTCTATAGGATGTTGAGCTATTGAGAGGTTTTCCTGGTTTTGGGAAAAGGATAATAGTGGAGTGTTTCCATAACAGAGGGAAGTGGGTGGTGCGTAGGATACAATTGTAGATATATGTAAGGAATATGACTGCTTTGGATGGAAGTTGTCGAAGGATTTGAGGTGTAAGGAGATCATGTCCAGGAGCTTTACGGAGGATTAGTTTTTTTAATTGAAATTTTACTTCGGAAGGATGAATAGCTTTTGGGGGCAAGGAAAGTGGGATTGGTGATGTAAGGAGTTCTTCTACTGTTACGGTGTGGGCAGGATGGGATTCCGGATGTGAAATAAATGTATTGGATAGGTGAATGGCGAACTCCTCAGCTTTATCTTCGTCAGATGCTGCCCAGGAGCCATCACCTCGTCGGAGAGGATGGGAAATGCGGTGAGGATTTAGGATTTTTGTTGTGGTTTTCCAAAGGGAATTGTCGCGAGAAGAGAGGGAGGATAGGTAGGAGTTGAAGGATTGTGATCTGAAGGTGGCTAATTCCAGTTTTAATTGTTTGCAGTAGTAATTATAGGAGCAGCGGTCGGTAGGATGTCGGGTACGTTGCCATAATAATCTGGCACGGCGTTTGGTGCGGATTAGGTTAAGGAGGTGTTGGGGTAGAATGGTCTTTATAGGAATTCTGGAGGAGTCTTTTGGGAAGGAGGCAGTCCAGGCGGCTTGTTGGATTGTGGTAGTAAAGGAATTTACGGCACTATCAAGGTCATCGGGAGTTTTGAGGGATATGTTGAGATCAATATTATCGGAGATTATTTGGCGGAAAAGGTCCCAGTTTACTGGGCCCCTAATGAATGACGGTGGAGAAGGTTTGGGAACAGGTTCAAGTGAAACATTAAGGATTAGAGGACTATGGTCAGAGGAAAGTTCATTTAGACGTGTAATGGAACAATTGAGGGGACTTAAGCCGCTGTGGATAAATAAATCAAGAAGATCAGGATTACGGTTGGGATCTGTGGGCCAGTAGGTAGGAGAGTTGGGGGAAAGGAGGTGAAAACGTTGGGAATTGAGTGCAGACAGCAGGGTTCGGCCACGAGAATTCGTGGTTCTGGAACCCCATTGTTGGTGCTTGGCATTTAGGTCTGCACCCAAGATGAAGTGATGTCCTAAGGAGTCGAGGAGAGAACGGAATTGGGCATTGGATATGGATCGGTTAGGAGGGCAATAAGCTGATGCAAGAGTGACCGGAAAGGAGAAGGTTTTTATCACGATAGCGGTGGACTGTAGGAAATCATGTATTGGTAATGGGAGTACGTGATGGGAGAGGGATTGGTGTACAATTACAGCAGTACCGGCATGTGCTTTACCGTCAGGGTGGTCAGTACGATATGTCAGGTATTGTGGTATATTGAAGTGCTGTTTAGTGGTTAGTCGAGTTTCAGTAATTAGTGCCACATCAATGTTCTTGTCCAGTAGTAAAGTAGATAGTTCGTCTGTATGATTTCTAACACCATTCGCATTCCAAAGGAGAATGGATATGGGTTTAGGGATGTGAGTCATTTAAGGATTTTTCAAAGGAGGGATGAGGTGAGATACGAGATTCGTGAGGAGTGATATGAGTGGAGTAACAAGGGATTTGAAATCGGTGAGGAAAGATGCTAACAAACTTGTGAGATCTGTTGCATTTGAAGGAGGAGGAATATGAGGAATTTGTTGTTGGTGGTTAGGTATATTAGCATGAAGAGGATTTTGAGGTTGGGTTTGAGGTTGTTGTTGTGGCAGGGCTTGACATTTATCGGTTAAAGTCTTACCTCCAAGTAGTTGGGAGAATGACACATCATTGTCCACAATTCTGGAAGGCTCTCTCTCTCTTCTTGTTCTTAGTGCCTCATCCCGAATCCGGCCCCTCCGGCGTCCGGCCTCGAGACCCCTGCAAATCTGGCAGCCCCTGCAGCTGGCCGGGCGCCCCTCCAAGCACAGGGCACACACTGCTGGATCCTGCACAGGCCCGGCGCACTCCACAGACCTGCGCCGCCCACCGCACCCCACGCAACGCGGCAGACGGCGGCAACATGTCTTCGTGCGGCCGCAGGCCCGACAACTATGGCACTGCACGACGTCTCCCCTGGGATATGGCCTCTCAACCCTCACCACTGTGTAGTACACTCCTGTGACACCATATATTCCCTCGATACCCGGTGACGGCTCCAAGTCCACGAAAAACAATGGTAGTGGGATCCCATTTCGTAATCCTGGCTGCTCCCTGTCCTCCCTCAAAACGCTTGCCACCCGGCGTACATCGAAACCAAGCGTCGCTAGTTCCTCCCCAATAACCTCAGTGGGGGTTGAGGAATGTAAACCTCCTATCACCACTCGTAAAGCTCTCTCCTGCCTCAGCCGGCAAGCGCGAAAACTCGCATTCGCTTCTGACAAGTACTTCACTATTTCTCGGCAGGCCTCTGCAGAATCAGGCGCCACCTTGGTGTCATTGGTCCCGTTAAGGCACGAACAACTGCCAGAGCAGACTCTATCCAGTTGGGCGCAGAACATCCGGAAATTTTTTATACTTTTCACAATATCGAGAGCTTGGTTCTCGGTATGCGCAGACCATACTCTCGTCATTTGAAGCCTGGTAGGGTTGGAGTAAAGAAAGGCGATTCTTCAATCGTCTCCTGCGCAGACGTACCTGGTCGGGGCTGAGGTTCTGGTTCTGAAGTGTTCATTTTGGTCACCGGAGGTACTTCTCGTAGGCAGCGACGAGTCCCCCGCTTGGCTGGTGAGTTAACTCCGTCTGACCGAGACCTCCCGGGCACCCTACTGGCCATCACCCGCCGACCATACCGCACATCACAAGAGAAAAAATAAATAAATAAATAAACAAAAAAAAAATATTTTTTTTGTTTTTTTAAAATAACAAAAAAAAAGATGCCAACAGTAAATATCAACTGCTCTGATATACACTCCAACTGCATCACGTGAACAATCAGAGAGACTCCGCTATAAAATTGGTAAAAACCGAGAGAGGAGTTGAGGAGACAACCTTCTCATCAGCCGATCCACTGCCTTCTAAATAAATTTATTTCCAGAAAGCAAAATATTGTATATATTGCTTTCTGGAAATATACCACTAATTTGATAAATCTTTTTTATTTTTTTTTTTGCTTCATTATAAATTTAAATAAATTTATTTAAATTTATAATGAAGCAAAAAAAAATAAAAAAGATTTATCAAATTAGTGGTATATTTCCAGAAAGCAATATATACAATATTAACAATATATACAGAGAAATAAATAAAGCAAAGAAAAAAATGAGAAAAACTAAGCATAACGAGAATATAAAGATAAGTAAACCAATAAAAATAATAATAATAACAAAAACGATCCTTTTTTGGGGGGGAGAGGGGTTCTCCCCTTCCTCGCCCGTTTTCCCAGGCCAGGGGGTGAGGGCGGGGATTTAAAAGATAACCCCGCCACCGGGACGCGAACTCGTGACTATTTTTATCCAGGTATCAATTATCAATCAGGTATAGTCAGGTTGCCGAGACAACAAATTTTGAAAACTTTTAAATGACCATTATCACCAACAGTGTATCAAAAAGTGTATACTTTAGAGTTATTCGGAAATCTAATTTTCCACCCCTTGTATTTTTTTTTTTATCAGCTTCTTTTCGTTGAATTATGTTATATATAGAATTTTTGGTTCGATTACAATGGTTCATTATTGAAAATAAGATACCAAAAATATTTTTAAATTGCGACATCTTTACTAATAATGCTCTGATTTCGGTGAAACATTCTTCGTTTTTTAGGAAATTAAATACCTTTGAAACACTTAATGACAATATCAACTAAAAAGTGTATACTTTTTGAGTTATTCGTAATATAATTTTACCACCCCTCCTAACTTTTTTTCAAGCTTCTTTTCGTTGAAATATGTTAAATAGATAAATTTATAGGGCATCAAGAAGAAGACTTTACCAAAGTTTCATTGAAATCGGTACATTATTTTATGCGCCATAGTCTATAGCAAAACAGGTTTTTCGGCCACTACTTAGGTAACCTCTGAATTTTAATCTAAATTTGAAAACAATCGGTCCAGTAGATTCGGAGGAAAGGTGCAGACGGCAGACGACAGTGTATCAAGGAGCGGGGTGGCCGAATGAGCAACGTGTGTGCACTGCACCGCCGTTACCTGGCAACCTTATACATGACAGAACTGCATAAAAATATTCACGAGTTCGCATACCGGTGCCAGCGGAGTCTTTTAAATCCCCGCCCTCACCCCCTGGTCCGAGAAAATCCCCGTATAGACTTAAAGGCGCGGAAAGGGAGGATCCAAAAAAACAAAACAAAAAAAAAAAACACATTCTATTAATAGTTATAAAAAAATTGATAAAACCGAGTGTAAATAAAGTAAAAATTTTTTTTAATTTATTGCACAAACATTTTATTTTTAAACCTTTTACGGGACTTGAATATAGAAATATATAAAATATTTTTTTTTAAAGTTAAGGCTATTAAAAAGCTCTGCGACGAAAAATGTATTTCTCGTTGCACCCCTATATACAGAGCCTCAATTATCGTCCCCGTTCTCATATCTGTCTCCTTGTGTAGTATTTATGGTTCGCTTGTCTTTAATCTGGGATTTCATTCCACTACTAAGTGGTATATTAAAACAGTTTTGTTTGTATTTTTCCTTTACATTCTCTCTCTCTCTCTCTCTCAAATGAATTCTTATCATGATGGGGAACCATTTTGTCATTCGAGGCCGCAATAATGTTTTATATAAGTAAAAGCACAAACCCACAACTTAATTTTATTAATTTTCGTAACCCAAATAATGAAACATTAATTAATCCTAAAGCTAGAATAATGCAGACCACGCAAAAACTGTTTGAGGCCGAACGCAGATACTCCAGCTGTGTGCTATAATAAAGCAGTGTAGAGGTACTAGCTTCGCTTAGTTCTAGCCCCCATTACTAGACTGTGCATTGATGTTAGATTCCTAGATGCTCACTATGTGAAGATCATTTATATTTTATTGTTTTTTATTTATATTATTTCAAAGAACTGTATTTTTATTATATGAATGGTTTCGATGTATGTTTACTTTATTCAAGTTATATAAAATTACCTGATCAAAAAGTACAAACAGCATATTCGGGTACGACCTTCGTTATTAATGTTTTATATGAATGCAAGTTTCTCCTAGTCGAAAGAGCTTGAAATGAGACCTTCCACACAGATTGGTCAGTATATATTATATACTTTTTTTGGTTCTACAACAATATGCCTTTTATTTCTATATGCTCCTTTAACTTTTCTCTTTCCATACATTTCTTCCTTCCACAAAGTCAAGAGGCTCATCACTCCAATTATGGTTTCCATCCTGCGGTGTCATAAGGTTCATCTCTTAGCCCGCAGACCAAAAATGATTTGTGTGGTCATCCGCCTGAAACTTGATGTTAACCTGTCTTAGCCTCTTCCTTCATGCACTGGGTCAATTAACTTAAATTGGACACGCTCTGTTGAGGCCTTCTGATAACTCTAATTCCTTACATCTACAGAAGTTTTATTTGTACTTTTTCTTTTCTCTCTCTCAAATAGTAAGTACTATTATTTATGTACATTATAACATTGTTATTAACAATATTTTACGTACTAAAATGTTAATTTTTCCAGTCAATAATAAGAAAATTAGTGAAGTATAGCCGACTTATTGGCTTCGAAGCGGGAAGAATACTCTTAGATGCAGGTGACAAACCGCTTTGTGCTTACTTTATACTCAGTGGTGAAGTCAAAGTGAATTTCGACAAAGTGATTGATCCTATTCAGAGGTTGTTGGAAACAATATACAATGGAGAACTCCGCGGACATGTGCAACAATTGAAGACAAAAACATATGGCCGTGGCAACTTGATTGGCATGAATGAATTTTTGTATAATGAGGCTAGGCCAAGCCGTATGTTTGTTACGAGTCAGTATTCAAATCACCTTTTACTTGTTTACTCCTTCAGATAATTTATTTGATAATGTGATAGTAAAAAACCGCACCTAAGCGGCGAAATTATAAATAAAGAATTGATGAAAGTGACAATAAAAAATATATAAACAAGTTTATTCACTTTTAAAGTAACTGAGGGTTTAAAGATGGTTTACACTATTTTTAAAGATGGATTACATCTCGCAGTGACAAATTAGCATTTTTTCTCTTACTCTACTTAACAATTACTGCACATATAAAACATCTTTCCACTGTTCTGGAATATCTTTCCACACCAAACTCTACTAAGCCACACTAAATCCGCCACTGGTCATATTATCTTACGATTCGATTGGAAAGAAAATGTGTATTCATAAGTTTTTAGTAACTAATTAAATGGACAAAGTTTGCCAATCTTCAGATTGAAAACACCCTAATCCCGAGAAAATCGAAAATCTGAGAATTTTCGTAAATAAAATATTTGTAGATTACGTTGAGATGAAGCTATTTGCAAAGCTTTAGGTGGATGTTAATAGTTTGATAAAATGGGGTCTGTACCACGGACTAATTTACTGTTATTTATTGAATCAATCAATTCCATAGTGTTAGTAAATTTGATTACCGTGTTTGCATTCTTCCAATGATGATCACTATCCAATTATTAAACTAATGTATGTAAAAATTGTATCTCATAGTGACAGAATTTTTATAGAAAACAATTGAGATAGCTTTTGATTTGACCTGATAACTATAAAACCTCTGCAAATTATGTGTGATGTGCTCTCTGAGAGGAAAGGAAATAAAAGTTATGTTATTACTGTAATGAAGTCATTTCGTTATTGTCCCATTTTGAGAGAAATAAAAACAAACAGCTGGTAGATTTAATTGCCATTCCTTGGCATTAATTAAACGAAATAATAAATACAAAAGAAACTAACTCCAATTAGATTCTGATTATCTATAGAACTAATAAAATCTGTATAATATGTACCATTTGTTAATGACTTTCACATTTTATTTATTTTAGTGCAAGGGGAGTAGGAGATAACAGGAACTCATAGTGGTGCTCTCCTACGCCGATTATTTTACAAATTATAAAGCTGTGCTAAATACATAATTACATAATACATACATACATAATACATAATTACATATGTGTTAAGCTTCTGTTACCTCCTGTTCTCCTAATACAGAATAAAGATTTTAGACTAAAAATTTGTACGGTCACACTGGAGTATTCACCTGGATGGAGGTGGTAATTTTATTTTACTTAGGCGATAACAGTTATTTTTCGATCAAGACATTTCTCCCTGCATACAATATATTAATTATGATTTTATATATAATACTATTTATATTATATTGTGATATAATTATAATTATCATGAAATAGAAGAGGAAGTCCAATATAAGGCACAATAAAAATATTAAAAATAAAAGGCTCAAATTGATTTTGGGCTTATATGAAGTTGGATGAGTTGAATATATATTATGTTTACAAATTGGCAGTAAGAATAATTATAATTATACAATAATATGAATTGGCAATAAGGTACGATGTACAATATAGATTTTCAAAGAAATTAAAGATTTTTCGGAACTATGGTTTCGTTCAGTTTATTTTATGTTGATAAAAAAATAATACAATCTCAACTACAAAATACATGTAAATTAAAGTTATGTAATTTGAGCAACAAGTAGTACAATTATATGAACAATTGCATAATTTATAAAATGGGGGTTGGTCCGTCGTTAAGCGGGCAATGTATATGCAATATGCAATACACAGTGCCAAAAACCTTATTTTAAAGTCTCTAACGGAACCTGAAGGTTGAAATACGAAACAATAAAATTTCTCAAGGTTTGATTTACCAATTTTATTAAACCTTACCCTTGGCGAAAACTTGAATTGGCGAAACGTTGAGGGGTTTTATTCTTTACCTGCATTTTGGAGACTTAAAGCTGTCTGGTTTGCCTTTATAGCCTAATATTTACGTTATGTATTTTGGTTAGTGTGTTACTTATTTATATTAATACATTATTATTATTCGTATTTTGTTAATTATGATTTGCAGAAGATGTACTCTGTATCCAGTTCAAGAAAAAGTATATCATACCAACGCTGCTACCATTGATCAATCAATGGTGTATGGTTTTCGAATATCTGAGTGAGTTCGAAATATTTAAATATTTGGAATTCGAAGCCAAGAGAGAACTAAGCACTATAGGAAAGGTTAAAAAGTACCAAGCTCGTTCATTAATTGAAGGTAAACACCTTTTTAAATTAATTTATTTTTATTCTATTCTAATGCTGCTTCCATATACAATATGTCATAATGTATTATTAATATTTTTTATTTATTTTTAATCAGGTCTTGAGTTCAGTTTTATTTTATTTTTCTAAATTTAATTTATTGGGGTATGAGAATCTCTTATGGCGAACATACCGGTTTTCGCTCAATTTTAGAAATTCAATAAATCTCGAATTATGAGTAGTTTTGTGTTTTAAATCACTATCAAGATTTTTCTTTATAGTCCATGATAAAGTTCCCATTTTATAAAATGATTAATATCCGCATTATTAACATTTTTTTTTCGACTTGTGGTCATATAATCTTACGTTTCAAATTGAAAGCAATTGGGTACTCCATGAATTTAGAATTACTAAGTAAATAGACAAAGTTTGCCGATCTCCTGATTAAAAATTCCGAGAATTTTCGTAAATAAAATATTTGTAGGTTACGATGAGATGAAGCTATTCATAGAGCTTTAGGCAGATGTTAATAATTTGATAAAAAGGGGTCTGCACAACGGACTATTATGCTCAATACTCGGAATAAATTTATGGAACAAGAAAATCATATTAATCTTTTATTTCCAAATGAGGCATTGACATATGGAAGAACACATACCTTGTTTTAAGTACCATCTCTTATCAATACTACTAAAAAATTTGAGAATATAATAATTTCAGAAAAGTTGCTAATATCCAACCGGAGCGCAACAAACGATTTTACAATCTGACGTAATATTGTTTGGGTGCAAACAATCTACATCTAAATGTATTAAATAAATATTACAGCTTTTTTAACGCTCATTAGCGTGGAGGCTGCTTCTGAACTTTAAAAGAGAATGTAATTTTGAGAGACAAAACTGGAATATGATTGGATCAACTTCTTCAACTGTCAAATTATTCAAGTCTTTTGATATATAGTATTTCCTAGTATAGTATATTTAGTAGCTTCATAAATATAGTATATCATTGTTAATGATATTAGATGTTAGTAGAGCATATTATATTTATATTTCGGTTGCAATGAAATTTTTTTTTCAATATTTAGATATATCGTAATATCTACTAAAAAAAACGACAAACACATTTGGATCTCAGCTGCCAAGATACTAATAGAAGGCAGAATATTTAGCAAAATAATTTTTAATATTTTAGTAAACAGCATGAAAAAGAATTCTACTATAAAATTATGCACAGATATTTTTAAATTTTTTATTTATAAAAAAATCGAACTTAATAGTTTTATTGAACGATAAAAGCGGATATTAACCGGTTTTTAATAACAAAAATTCACGATGCCTACTTTACTAGAAGCGAGTTTTTGTAACTCATTATACATCAGAAATCGTTTAATAAAATTAGCAATATATTTTTTCTATTTTGTACTAAAAAACAAATCGATTAATAAATAATAAGTTAGAAATTCACACAGAGCAAAATCATAAAACAATTATATAAAAAATAACATTTTATAATTTTTTTTCCGGCTCCTAGAGCTCATTAGCAACAACCCTCGGACATAGGTCTAATATTTTTCAATCTAGTATCACAAAAAAAAAATGTCATTGGAGTCGGCGACACTACATCCGTAACATACCCTTTTTAGAAAAACGGTAACTCATCATCATAATCCATCCTCTTGAACCGCATTAAGCATTGTGAGGAGGAAGTTTATAGAGCCTTCTCCAGCTCTGCCGGTCTTCAACAAGACGTCTCCTATCGTTCCATTGAAGACCTCTTCTCTGGAAATCGCTCTTTACCTCATCTTCCCATTTCCTTCTAGGCCGCCCTCTTTCTTTCTTGCCCTCTACTTTAGATCGATAGGTTTCGCTAGCTATTCTGTTTGGTTCCTTCCGCAGAAGATGTCCTAGCCATCTCTTAATATTGAGGTTCGACCTGATGGTGGTGTTGCGTACTCTATCTCTTCTCGTTTTCCCCTCAATCTTTCGGAGGAATCGCATTTCTGATGTTTGTATCCTTAATCGATGTTTCTTTTTCAGCGTCCATGATTCTGAAGAGTACGTTAAAATGCGAAGAAATGTCTATCTGAAAACAGCTACTTTTGTTTTCATTTCCACCTCTCGCCTGTTTAGAAAACCTTTCTTAACTGCTTCAAACATCCTGCTCGCAGCAGCGATTCGTTCAGCCACCTCTGAATCGATGTACCCATTTTCATTAAGGTGTGCGCCCAAGTATTTGAAGTTTTCTACCTGCTCGAGGATTTTGTCTTCGACTCTGATGACAAATTTCTCCTAGGCTTCTTCCCAACCCTTATTACTTTCGTTTTTACAGGTTTGATAATCATATTAATCTTCTGCAATTCTTCTTTTAATCTATTAATATTGTACTGAAGATTCCTGTCGCTGTCCGAAAAAATAACAACGTCATCAGCGAATGCAAGTATTGAGAGGCTCAGAAAAACGGTAACTAAATAATTAATCCTACACTTACGCATTATTTCTTTTTCTATAGTTTCTATGAAACTCTATTTTTTTAAGTTCTCATATAAAAAATTGCTTGTGTGTTATTAGAATGTATAACTTAAACATTTTAGGATTTTCAACATTTTGCAAAAAGGAATGCTAAATATTAACTTTTATTAATGTATAAATGCATAACAATGAAGTATATAATTTGTTTACAAGATTTCATGATTGAACACATCAGAAAAAAAAAAATGTATGAATATACGCAGCCCTAACGAAAAACATTGATTGATTGAGCATTGATAAAAAAAATAATTGTAAGAGGATCATAAACTTTCGGATGTTTAAGTGAACTAATTAAATTTATAGAAATTATAACTGTTTGTCGTTTTTACGATTCAACTTTTCTTAGCAAGATCGATTTTTGGCCAACTTCTAATAGCATTGTGCTAAGTATTCAAACATACTGAAAGATTTTTTTTTTTTTTTAAATCTGTTTATTGAATAATAATACAATCAGCCACTGCTGGAGGGCTATAAGCATTAGGGCTACAAGTTCTCATTCATACAATATATACAAATAATAAAGAAATAAATATAAATATAATAAGTAAATAAATAATACTGGTGAAGAAGTTAAATAAAAATAAAATAAAATAAAAATTTCTAAACACAATCATACCTATATACAATATATACATTCGCCCAAGAATCTCCGAGCCAGGCTTTTTCCCCCATACGTGGAAGGCGAAGCAAGACTCCGGGAGATCCCAGCGCCACTTTTCCAGCCGCATCACTAGTATTAGAAGCCAATGGAGACTGAAAGAGGGCACTACAGCCACAGACGCTCAGGACATGAGTGGAGAAGCTGGCCATTGCCAGGACTCCAAAGGCATATTTACAAAAGATCTCGAGGCCACTGCCGTTTCAACCTTCGAGGGGGATGGTATGGATGTTCGGAGCTGGATAGGGATTGCGCTAGAGGATTGGGATGATGAATGAGGTTCTGGTGAAAGTTGGAGAATCTGGATGGGATGATGTCATGGACATATGGGATGTTAAGGTCATGGTGTAGGGTCTTGTTCGTGACATAATATGGAGCATTGACTATTGTTCGAAGGACTTTGGACTGGAAGGATTGGATGCGTTTGATATTCGATGATTTAGTTGTCCCCCACAGTTCAAGTCCGTAGGTCCAGATAGGTTTCAGTATGGTCTTGTAGATTAATAATTTGTTTTCTGTTGAGAGATGAGATGTTCTGTTTAGTAGTCTATATAGCTGACCAAATCGTCGGTTAAGCTCTTGTCTTTTAAGTCTGGTATGTGGGTTCCAAGTCAGTCTTTTGTCCAAAAGGAAGCCAAGGTATCGGACTGTGTCTGAGTAGGGAAGAGGAATTGAATTAAAAAGGATTGGTGGACAGGATCTGCGTCGAAGAGTGAAAGTTACATGCTTGCATTTTGATTCATTAATTTTGATGCGCCAGTTGTTGCACCACTGCTCAATGAAGGAAAGGTGTCTTTGCAGGTTCTGAGACGCTATTAGAGGATCCGAGTGAGAGGATAGGATGGCAGTATCATCAGCAAATGTTGCTAGGAAGGTATCAGGACTTGAAGGGATGTCAGCGGTGAAAAGGATGTAGAGAACTGGGCCCAAGACACTGCCTTGTGGAACACCAGCCTCAATTGGATAATGTTTGGAGAGTTCAGTGCCGCAGCGGACTTGAAAGGAGCGATTTGAAAGGTAGGATTTGAGGACTAGGTACAAGGGTTGAGGTAAATGGGTTTTGAGTTTGAAAAGCAAGCCATCGTGCCACACCCGGTCGAAAGCTTGAGCTACGTCCAGAAAGGCACCAGTGCAATATTGCTTGTTTTCAAGTGCAGAGGATATGTGGTCGACAACGCGAAGGCCTTGTTGGACAGTGGAGTGTCTTGAGCGGAATCCAAACTGATGGGGAGGGATATTGTGGGATTCGAGTATGGGTAGGATGCGTTTGAGAAGGATTTTCTCAAAGATTTTGGAAAGGATCGGAAGTAGGCTTATCGGTCTATAGGATGATGTATAATTAACAGGTTTACCTGGTTTAGGAAAGAGGATAATTATGGAGTGTTTCCACACCAGAGGAAAGTGGGTTGTGCGGAGGATACAGTTGAATAGGTATGTAAGGAATATAATTGCTTTTTTGGGAAGTTGTCTGAGGATCTGGGAAGTAAGGAGATCGTGTCCTGGAGATTTGCGAGGTTTTAGGTTCTTTAAAAGGAATTTGACCTCAGAGGGGTTGACGGCTGTAGGAGGTAAGGAGAGAGGAATCGGTGAAGAGAGGAACTCTTTAACTTCAGCAGTATGGGAGGGATGGAGTTCAGGATGAGGAGTGAATGTGTACGATAGATGTTTAGCAAACTCTTCTGCTCTATTCTCATCTGACGAAGCCCAGGAACCATCATCACGGCGGAGGGGGTGGGAAATGGATTGGAATTTAAGGATTTTTTTAGTTACATTCCAGATGGAGTTATCACTTGCAGATAGTGAGGAAAGATAGGAATTATAGGATTGGGATCTAAACGTGGCCAGTTTTTGTTTTACTTGCTTGGAATAATAGTTATATGATTTCCGATCATCAGGATGCCTGGTTCTTTGCCAGATAGCCCTAGAGCATCGTTTTCTATTAATAAGGTCCAGTAGGTCTTGGGGTAGAGGATTTGTTTTGCGGTATTTTTTAGAAGGATCAGGTGAAGATGCAGTCCAAACTGCTTGTTGGATCAACGTAGTCATGGAATGTACTGCTTCATCTAGGTCTGTAGGTGTTTTTAAGGAAACTCTGAGGTCAATATTATCATCCAGCATTTGACGGAAGAGGTTCCAATTAACTGGCCCCCTGATAAATGAAGGTGGAGGTGGTTTGGGAATTGGTGATGTGGAAACCGTTAGGATTAGGGGACTATGGTCTGAGGAGAGATCATCAAGTCTTGAGATGCAATAATTAAGGGACCCTAGACCTTTGTGGATGAAAAAATCTAGGAGATCGGGATTGCGGTTAGGATCTGTTGGCCAGTATGTGGGAGAATTGGGTGAGAGGATGTTGCTGTGATGGGAATTAAGTGCAGCTAGCAATGTTCGTCCTCGGGAATTTGTGGTTCTGGCTCCCCATTGCTGGTGTTTAGCATTTAAATCTGCACCTAGAAGGAAGTGGTGTCCTAAGGAGTTAAGGAAGGAAGTTAATTGGGATTCTGAGATGGGTATTTTAGGCGGGGAGTATGCTGCGACTACTGTTATTGGGTAAAGGGAAGTTTGGATTATCACGGCAGTGGATTGTAGGAAATTATGGGTTGGCAAAGGGAATAGATGATGGGAAACGGATCTATGGATAATTATGGCAGTGCCACCATGTGCTGTTCCATCAGGATGGTCGGTTCGATAAATATTGTAGCCGGGAACGTTGATTTGTCGTTTGTTGGTTAGTCGAGTTTCAGTTATTAGTGCTATGTCGATGTTTTTGTCATGTAATAAGATTGTCAGTTCGTTGATGTGGTTCCGAATACCATTCGCATTCCAAAGGAGAATGGAGAGGAATTTGGTTGATGACATTTATGGATTTCTTGGCAGTGGAATGAGGTTGGATATAACATTGGTAAGTAGCGAAATAAGAGGGGTAATGAGAGATCTAAATTCGGAAAGGAAAGATGTCAGTAGGCTTGTGAGGTCAGTGGAATTGGAAGGAGGAGGAATGAATGTATGAGTATTTAACCTACGTTCGGGGATGGAGGGATATGGGTCTTGAGGTTGATGTGTGAATTCTTGAGGTTTAGGTTCTTGTGGCAGGGCCTGAGATTGAGAGTTTACAGTGTCTCCTTTGAACATCTGAGCATAGGACACTCTTCCGTTCAATATTCTAGAGGGTTGTCTTGGTGGCCTGGATGTCCCTTCTTCTCTAGGCGTTGCGTACATTCGTGTTTTTAAATTTTTGTATGTTTGACAACCCTTGTAGTTGGCTGGGTGTCCTTGGTGGCATAAAGCGCATACTGCAGGTGAAGTTCTTGACTTCCTACAGTCCTCTGTTTTGTGTTGCTCACCACACCTCACACATCTAGGAATGTGATGACAATACCGTTTCGTATGGCCATAAGCCTGGCAGTTATGACATTGAACGATGTCGCGCTTGCTGTAGGGCTTTTCTACAACAACGCTTGTATAATAAAGGCGTGTGATCTTGTAGATGTTTTCGACATCGGGTGTTCGGTCAAGGTCAACGAAGAAAAGTGGAAGAGGTATTTTATTTTTTATTCCAGGCTGTTCTTTATCCTCCTTGAATATGTTCACTATCTGTCGAACATGGAATCCCATACCCATGAGCTCTTCTTTTATAGCATCTGTTGGCGTAGATGGGTGCAGTCTTCTGATAACGACCCTGAGCGCCCTCTCTTGACGCAGTTGATACGTGTGGTAATCAGCCTTGGTGTCAGATAAATATTTTATCATTTTTCTGTAAGTTTCTGGAGTGTCGGGCATTAATTTAGTGTCATTGGTGCGGCTTTGGCATAAATATTTTCCTGAACCTACTAGATTATTCAATTGATGACACATCAATTGAAAATTTTTAATATTTCTAACAAATATTGGTGGGGGTTTAGGTTCTCTGGGGGTTGATGCTGCTTCCATTTGTTCGTTATTTATATTTGAAAGCACTTCAAATGGATTCGAAGTGAAAAACGGCGATTCTTCGCCCATAGCTTGAGTTGTCTCACAATTGTTAGGTTGTTGTGAGGAGCCAGGTTGGGGTTCAACTTCTTCTATGGAGCTCCCTGGTGTGGCTGGTGGAGTGTTTCTTTTTGAATGCCTTGTCTTTTTTTTAATGGGAGAACTAATTGTAGTATCGAGGCTCCTGGACCTAGTGTTTTTGCCCTTACTCGACATTAGCATGTGATAATATCGCATTTCATATTAATTTTTTAAAAGAAAAATTGATAAAAGTGAGGCGATGAAAAAAATAAATTTTTATTGAAGACGAAAATATAGACGCGCGCTTGGAGAACGCAGGTCTGCTTCCGACGAAGGGCTCCAGCCCACTAGTCAGATTAACGATGTGTATTATGGCTGGCCGTTATCTAACTAACCTAAGGTCTATTTACACTGTTCACTCTTGTGTTGTAAATAAGTGATTACTCACCTTATTTTTTTGTCCAGTATCAAACGTAATTGGTAATGTAACTGATAACACTAATTGTTCACATTAAGCTTGTATACTGCCACTGATCTACTGAAAGATTAGGTTCCTTTCCATACCATTCATGATGCACAACCCTTTAGGGGAATACACATATCCGAAATTACTATGAAAATGTATAAGATATAAAATACTATTGAAAACACCAATAATATACATGTTTTACGTAATTATGAATACAATAAGAACATTACAATAAGACAGAAAGAAATCTAGTACTATCCATCACACAACCTTCGTTTACTACCTAACTTATAGAAGAAATTATTCATGCTACTATATAATATAAACGTACAGCCCGTTTTTTGTATGTGAACAAAATAATGGAATATTGTTTTTGGTCCGTGTTGTAACGTGAAGGTTTTTATAAATTTAAATTCTTCGAAGAAACAAAGTAGATATTATTATCAACCGGGCATAGATAATTTACTATTATTGCTATATCGTTGTTTGAATCTTTAAGGTCTTTAAATATGTGCCAAAGAACTAGTAATGGGGCTGAGTGAGGTAACTAGAATCTCCAAGTTCTCCTGAGTGAGTGAATTTTGTAAATGTATAAAAACACATGTGTATATAATTCGTTATTTTGATTAGTTAAGTTTCTTTTTGTTTATATGCATTTATTTTTAATATTATTATTTTGCAGTTTAATTTATAATTATTTATTGTACATAGTGTGCGAATCAGCCATTCTATCACTATTAATAGTGCCCTTGGATGTGATAAATTTTTTTTTAATAAAGATTAAGGTTTAAATTTCAAAATATTTATCAATAAAGATGATTTCAATAAAAATAGAAAAAACAAATGTGCTATAGAAATAACAAAATTTTGGTCATCGCATAAACGAAATAAAAACTGTAAATAAATGAAGTTATATAAAAGTTATCACACAATCATATAAAATTAACTCCATTTTTCATTTGTAACCGAAAAGTAGGAAACCGTCATTACCAAAAGTTAATTTGGTCATCTTTATTGTCAATGGAGAGTTTAGCAATAATGAGAAAAACCGATTTCTACTGATTAGTAACCGTAAAGCTCAATACATCTGGATATATTTATATAAAAATATAAAATATCCCATTTAGAATTAATTTATTTAAGATTATTATATATTTTATTATTAGCATTACAGTATTAAGAGTGTTATATTTATTTTTTAATTACAAGGAAATAAAAAAGAAATAAATCAAACCGTTTAAATTTCAACTTTCTTTATTGGTTTCTCTGAACGACGTTTAGTACCAATAAAAAAAAATGATTTAATTTATTAATTTTGTTAGCCAAAGACCCATTATTCATTGAGAATGAGGCAGATGTCTTGAAATGTCGTTTAGGCAAATCAATGCAGAAAGTAGGAATCTGAAGAGTTTAATTTTAAAAAATAAATTAAAAAACAAAGTATTTAAACTGCAACATTCTTTCTTACAGCAACCGATACTTCGTATTTCCTAATTGAAGGTGAGATAACTGTTATTCAACGACTCCTCGTTGAAAATTATCGTTTTAACAGAAAACCCCAAAAAAGATTGTACCACGACCAGAATGCATTGGAATACGGAAACAACGTAGAATCTATTTTTATGAAAGTTTGTGTTTTGAGCAAAGGCTCGTACTTCGGTTTAGGTAAATAACTACTAATATATTTATCAACGAAACATTGCTTACCTTCAGCAAATTTGATTACACTTTCTTCATCTGAACTAATACACATACATGTGGTTAATAATAAAAAAAAGATAAATATATTTAAGGTTTGATCAAGGTTTAGTTACTAGAGGCAAGAATCTGATTTCACTTACAAGCGGAATCTACAGTCCAAGGGTCACCGATTTCAACAATTTTTTATCGGCAATTCTTCAACAAAAAATATTGGACAAATGCCCTGGTTTCCGTTCCAATGGACCGTTTGGATTAGCCCATATCCTTAGGGTTATTACATTATAAGTCGATTTCTGTTTTGTTTTTTTTGGTGCAGAATAAAAAAGTAATATTGACTAATGTATTAAAACGGGACGCCATTAGTCGAGAGAGTCAAGGCACCTGCAAAAATACACTTAACGCTTAGAGGCTTTTTGTTTCGATTTTTATAGAAACCGAAAAGTCAAAAGTTCGAATCCCGTTCGTAAGGGGAAAAATAATTAATAATGAACATAAAAAATATAAAAATAAAAATGGCAAGCGCTACCACACGATTACTTCGACCACAACGGGCGCGCGTTCGATTCCCGCTGACGGACGGTAACGTCCTCACCCAGAGATTCACAGAGAGATGAACGACCCCTGTGTCTTACAACATAGCTCCTGGTCCTCTAGGTTGGGGGTTTGGCAGAGGGCTAATAACTCTATCCCGGAAAAAACGACTTATTACGAAACCTAAACTAAGCCTCGAAAAATCGGACTGTCTAAATATGGTAACGACCTGAGCTTTGGTTCACGAACTATAGATTGGATCTTGGAACGTACTTAGTTCATACAGAGGAGTAGCCGTGGAAACGGTAGTTAAGAAATTAAAAATATACTTTTTTTTCCCTTTCTTATGTACATATTGTGTGAATGAATACTATAGCACTAGTGCCAATGCCCTTCAGTGTGGTAGACTGTATTAATACTCAATAAAAGTTAAAAAAACAAAAAGAAATTAAAAAGGCATAACGTACACGTAACAACCATTGAAGAGGTAAGGTGACCCAGATGACGGTGAAACTATTTTCGATGGCCATACATTACCATACTCTGGGAGAAACGATAAAAATGCGACAGTGTCGGCTGTCGCATTTTTATATTTATAGTTAGTATATTTATAGTTAGGTATTTATAGTTAGTCCAGTGGCAAGGAAATCAATCATAAGCTTCACTCTGATAAATGAAAGGATTAGTGTATTAGGAGTGAAAGGTCGTTGGTTTAATATCCCGATAATTAATGTGTATGCATCAACCGAAGATAAAGATGAAGAGGTAAAGGTTGATTTCTACGATCAGTTTCAAAATTTTGTGGACCAAGCTCATTGGCAAAAATAGTCACAGGTGACTTTGATGCAAAGACAGAACGCGAATCAGGCCGATTATCGTAGGCCAAAGCCTTTACGAAAATAGCAGTAACAATGGAGTGAGACGTATAAGTCTGGCAGCAGTTAAAGGTCGAGACGTCAGCAATGCAATGTCCCTACACAAGAATATCCACAAGTACACCTGTGTCCGCCCATAAGGAGCGAAAATCCAAATTTACCATGTGCTGTAGGATTAGAGACATCAGAGCTCAATACACGATGTAAGAAGCAACCGTGGAGCAGACTGTGATTCGGATCACTCTCGGATTAGAATTAAACTATGTCAGAGATTCACCCAACAGGGAATCAAGTGGAAAGGAGAAGGTATTGACTCCGTAATTTGAAAAATCCTGAAGTAAAAACCCAATACCAACTTGAGCTGAAAAATAAATTTGAATCCTTGGATTTGGATTGAATACTGAGGACCTTGACCCAGAAGCGGTTAAAAAAACAGATATAGTGGATGTAGAAATAGCTATTGAAAGACTCATAACTAAAAAGGTCCCAGGGATAGACAACCATCAGAACTGATAACGGAGACGACTTAACAGCCAAGCTACTACAACTAATCCAGAAAATATGGGAAGAGGAAAGGATACCTGAGGCTTGGAATACGGACCTAATCTGTCCTATCCTTCCTGTTGCCTACAAGATAATGAGCAATATCAACAGCAATATGAGCTAAACAGGATATATCCGTATTACGAGGATGTAATAGGCGACTACCAAACTGGATTCAAAAAACGGAGAAGCACGCTAGACCAGATCTTCATCCTAAAACTATTACTCGAAAAAACTACTACTTACTAGAAGTAGTTCAGGATGTCCACGCCCTATTCGTTGATTTCAAAGCAGCTTATGATTCTGTGGACAGGAGCTGTCTTTAGAAAATCATGACTGAACTGTGAATTTCCGGTAAGTTCGTGAGAATGACAAAGGCGTGTACAATTGACCCTCAAATGTAGAGTTCTACAATATACAAGGAGAAGTATCTGAGATCTCCAAAGTTCGATCGGGCTTACGGCAGGGAGATGGAGTATCACCGATGTTGTTCAACTTGGCCCTGGAGAAGATAATAAGAGCAACATCACAGGGAAATGGAGGGTTCCACGTCGGAATAAATCACAAAATCCCGGGATACTCATATGACATAGCCCTTGGAAGTAATCAAGAAGACATTGAGGAACCCGATACAACACTGATAAGAGAGACAGGAGAGATCCGTTTACAAGTAAATTAAGGCAATACAAAATATATGGTAATAAGCCGATAAATTCCACCCCAATAACAGGGTCTGCGTAGAACGAAAAACATTTCCGAGAGTAGAAAAATTCAAATACTCCGGCTCCACAATAACCTCAATGAATGGCCAACTGCCAGAAATAGACCAGCTTCACTCGAGTCCTGAGTGTCTGTTGCTCTAGTGGCTCCATCAGTCTCCACTGGCTTACTATACCAGTGACGCGGCTGGGAGAGAAGCACTGATATCTCCTGGAGTTCTGCTTTGGCTCCCACATTTGAGGAAGAAAGCTTGATTCAGAGTCCCCTGGGCCAATGTAAATATTGCATGTGTTTCATTTATTTTATTATCATTCGGCATTAATCTGTTATTTTACTTATCTTATATATTACTTTATCTTTTTATATATATATATATATATTTTTTTTTTTTTTCTTATTTTGGCTATTTATATTTATTTTCCTTTCTTATGTACATATGGTGTGAATGAATACTATAGCCCTAATACCATTACCCTTCAGTGTGGCAGACTTTATTTATACTCAATCGCATTTCTAAAAAAAAATTGAGTGGTGTGAGTATGGCTTTTACCACTACTATCATTGTCCTTAATTGAGATAGAATGTAATATTGTTTGTTCAATACAAATTTTTAAAATATATATGAATGTATTGAAATTTACTTTCATTTGATAAAAGAGCATTGATTGTGTGTACCGACAACTTATTGGCCTACATAAGAATTCCTCATCAGTGAATTGAAGGGCATCAGGCAGTATTTGAAGAATGGAAGGCAACGTTTTGCCGTTAGAAAGCCTTTACTAATGCGGTTCAATATTTTGCCGAATAGGATTTACGTATAGTAAGGGAAAATTCAATCAACCACGTTCTCGAACACAATTTTCCTCGTCGTAGGCCTGCGCTGCCAGTCAGACATTTTAGCAAATAATATTCCCGTAGTTGGAACATGTTTTCAATAGGTAATTCACATCGTCCATTTGCATCGGAGTTCCATTTGCATTCGAGGTTGTCGAATTGCTTATACAAACGTAAACGTTTAAGTGAATAACGGCTGCCCTTGGATATATATATATATATATATATATATATATATATATATATATATATATATATATATATATATATATATATATAAATACTCTTCGGCATAATAATATATCGTTTACTATCTTTATAAAATCATCAACCTTAATGTGACTGATTTGTCGATTAACCAAGACCCATCTAATTTTATTTTATTTTATTATTATTTCAATTGGACTTCCTGGGTGACATATGTTTATTTTTCGCGTATCTGAAAACTTACTTTTTTTTTTAATTTAACATGATCCGGGACAATGTATATCTTGCCAAAAATTGGTTTCGAATTGACTTGAAAATTTATATTAAAGCTGGCAGAACTCTTCCTTCTGATGATCAAATTGTATTATCTCAAATAATTCTTATCCTTATTGAAAACAATAAGAAACTGCTAGGCGTTTCTAGTAAATGAAATGAAATGAAAACAATGTTTTATTATTCTGGGACTGTTGTCCCTTAAGAACAAAATATGAATACAAATTATATGTCTGTGTGGTTACAATTAAATTGTATATTTACAATGAAAGTTGACTTACGATAAAAATACAGAATAGAGAAAGAAAAGAACAAGTAAATTGTATATATATATGAGAAACTAAAATAACCTTAATAAATTGAGGTAGTCTCTGGTGGTGCTCAGATATTTCTCTTAGATATATTTCACAGTCATTCGGATTGAGAAAGGAGTAGGTGCTTAAAGAGGAGAAGTTTAAACGAGGAAACTGATTGAGCGTGTCGAATATCAGCTGGGATGGAATTCCAGAGGGAGGCGGCTTGTATTGCAAAGGATTTGTCAAACGCAGCAGTTCGGTGAGGAGGAGGATAGCGGTCGGAAGTACGAGATCTGGTGGGACGGGATTGGATGGAATATTTGAATTGTAAGCTGTGAAAAATATAGGAGGGTCGATGGGTTCTAATGATTTGGTACAGAAAGGTGGCTAGGAAGTACTGACGGCGATAGGATGGGTAGAGCCACCTCAACTCAGTGTAATACTGGGTAATATGCGTAACCCTTGAGATTCCGAAAACAAATCGTAGTGCGCAATATTAGGTGTTTAAGTTTGGCCTCGGAATCTCCCGAGAGTCCACCGTACACCATACAGCCATAGTCGAAGTGGGGGAAAACAAGGGAGGAAACTAGGAGTTGACGGGATTTATATGGAAGGAGATATCGTAGACGGTTGAACTGTTTTAGGGTGGAGATAGTGCGACGGGAAATTTGGGAGATGTGAGGTTTCCAGGATAGGGATTGATCGAAAGTAACACCTAGGTTTTTACAGTGGTTAAATGCAATGTCTAATAGAAAAATTCTCTAAGCTTCTAATTATTTACAAAACAATCATTTACTTGGCTATCATAATAAGGCCTCTTTGGACTTAGATCTGAATTTGAAGTCCACAAAACCAACGAGTTCCTCTCGAATCCAATCCTTATAATTCAAAACCATTTGTAAAATCCTAAGCTCCTTACTTTGTCGCAAATACAATTATACATAATGAAGTTAATGTTCCACATGTTTCCGATTTAGGCAGATGGGCAGATGGACTATGAAATACTTAAGTTTTTTTTTAATTTTTTATATTTATCGATAAATACAGATTCATAATTTAAGGATGAATTATTTGTTCAAAATTACAAAATATTTGTTCAAAATTGCATTGATTAGCCACAGTCGACCACCGCACAGTAGGGCGAGCGAATAGTCCCGCTTGACATTGAGGGAAAAACAGTTAAAATTTGGATTAGTGGTAAACTTCTTCTTTTTGTTTCACCCTTTTGCCTTTTAGCGTGGGCGTACTTCTAATCACCGGTGCCATGAGCTTTTGTCTCTGGGAAGATATCTCATCTCTTCCAGTGTCTTCCCTTTGCGACTCCCTATTCGTTCCTAATGGTTGACTTAGGACGTCCTCTTGGTCTTTTCCCAACGGTCTCACTTCCATAGTTTTAATTGGGTTTGTGTGGTGATACATAAGGCCCATACCATCTCAGTTGCCTCTTTTATAGAGTTTCCGTTACCGTTCATACATTCAGATCTTCTATAATTTTCTCATTAAGAACAGAGTCTCTCCATGTTTTCCCCACTATTCTTTCAACGAACCCAATTTCCGAGGCAGTGACACGGCTTATTAGTCCCTCATTCGTAATCGAGCTCTCCACTCCAAAAGAGAAGTACTGGTAGGAACACGGATTTGAATAAGTGAAGGTTTAGTGGAACAGGGCACTTTTTCCGATAACTGAGTTACAGATAGTATATTCATATGCTGGTAGTATATGAAGTTTGCCTTGGATATTCCGCTTGATATTTTCGAATCCACTTTACCATATCAACTGATCACCATGGCAAGGTATTATATTATATCCGTCATCTGCATCAACTCTCCACTACAGAAATTCTTGCCATCTTGAGATCTACCAACTTGGAGACCGTCATAGCAACATAAACCCTGTTTATAATATCGATTGTAGCCTATAAAAACCTTAGAAGTAATTGCATCAGTCTGTTTGAATCACATAAAGCCAGTCTCTGAGCTCTATGGACTAAGAGAGATTTGAAAGTCATTAAATCACCATAAATTTTTTTATGTATTTAAATTCTTATTTTTCACCCTCGGAAAACACAACAAAATACAGTTACTTGCTTTTAAATATAGCATGGATAGGTCAAAAGTCGTCACATTAATTGCAAGTGTATAATGTGATTTCACAAAGGGGAATTGTTTTGGAATAAATCGAAGATGTATACTTAATTATTTAACTATAATATCGGATCTAGAGTTATTAAACTAAAACAGATGTGTTTGAGGTTATATTCATATGTTATACACTTCCATGAAATATCATTACATATCACATCTTCTTTCACACAAGTACAATGAAATAGCTTTTTAATAGCGTCATTGGCTTGATTCGGTGGATTTTAAATCCTTTTTCAAACTTAAAAAAAATTTTAAATTTTATATTTAGTTAGTAAATTTCATTTTATTTCCTTGGAATCATATAATTTCCGTTAAATAATATCAGTTTTCACAAATTATTATTTATCATTTCTTTGTCACTCTCCAATATACTCTACGACTTTCTATATTAGATATTGTTTTTTTCTATAATTCTCCGCTTTCCTTCTGACTTGTATTTCCCGAGATTCATTTTCAACCTTAATGAACGCTACAGTCAATAAGAGAGAATTAATTTTTTTAAATAAACCAAATTAAACTTATTTTAGAGGAAGATTTATATGAACATTGGGCATTTAAGCCTTGTAAAGATACATCAATGTGGATGAGACCTAGCTGATATTAAAAACAACTTAATAATAGACTGATATACCAAGTTTAATTTAATTCGTTAGAGCCGTTTTCGAAAAAATATGAATCTCTCTCTCTCTCTCTCTCTCTCTCTCTCTCTCTCTCTCTCTCTCTCTCTCTCTCTCTCTCTCTCTCTCTCTCTCTCCTCTCTCTCTCTCTCTCTCTCTCTCTCCTCTCTCTCTCTCTCTCTCTATCTCTCTCTCTCTCCCTCCCTCTCTCTCTCTCAGTCTCTCTCTCTCTTCTCTCTCTCTCTCCGCCTCTCACTCTCTCTCTCTCTCTCTCTCTCTCTCTCTCTCTCTCTCTCCTCTCTCTCTCTCTCTCTCTCTCTCTCTCTCTCTCTCTCTCTCTCTCTCTCTCCCTCTCTCTCTCTCTCTCTCTCTCTCTCTCTCTCTCTCTCTTCTCTATCTCTCTCCCCCTCTCTACCATATCCTCTTTTCTGGTCAATCCTCTAGGCCAGGAGCCGTTCACTCACTCTCTCTCTCTCTCTCTCTCTCTCTCTCTCTCTCTCTCTCTCCTCTCTCTCACTCTCTCTCTCTCTCTCTCTCTCTCTCTCTCTCCCTCTCTCCCCCCTCCCCCCCACTCTCTCTCTCTCTATCTATCTCTATCTCTATCTCTCTCCCCCCTCTCTTACCAGATAATCCTCTTTTTCTGGTCAAATCCTCTAGGACCAGATGAGCCGTTCACTCTCACTCTCTCTCTCTCTCTCTCTCCCTCTCTCTCTCCCTCCCTCCCCCCCCTCACTCTCTCTCTCTCTCTCTCTCTCTCTATCTATCTCTATCTCTATCTCTCCCCCCCCTCTCTTACCAGATAATCCTCTTTTTCTGGTCAAATCCTCTAGGACCAGAGGAGCCGTTCACTCTCACTCTCTCTCTCTCTCTCTCTCTCTCTCTCTCTCTCTCTCTCTCTCTCTCACTCTCTCTCTCTCCCTCTCTCCCTCCCTCTCCCTCCCTCACTCTCTCTCTGTATATCTCTCTTTCACTCTATCTATCTCTATCTCTCTCCCCCCTCTCTTACCAGATAATCCTCTTTTTCTGGTCAAATCCTCTAGGACCAGAAAAAGGATAAATAAAAAGATTCATTAATCAGAAGAATTCATTAATATTTCCATGAAAAATATAATATACATTAATTCTATATAAAGAAAATAATTATAATAAATAATGTACTTGAGTGAGGACGAGTTGTTCGCTAATGGGCTCATGGATGCCGCTTACAGCACTTCCCTAGTTAACTGGACCTTAATCACAACTATACGCCTTGTCTTCTAATCATTCACAAGTCTCGCCAGTCGGTCTGTAAGAGTGTACCCTTTTCATGCAGATTCGATAACAAAGAAACCACATGCTCCACTGTGCATTGATTTGAATCCGGTCTGGATCGGTTGGCAATTATTTTGAGGTTGATCCAAGGAGAAAATTTCAACCTCTCTTTACCACGAGAGAGTATATGCAGGTAACCTGCGCGATTCTATATTCAATCCGTTCTTCTTACACTGGTTGAAATTTAAGAGTATTTTAGACCCCAATAAACGACAAGAATGAAATTTTATTTAAAAGGATTTCAGTTTCATCTGTTAGTTTTTAAATAAATCGTAAATTTCAAACTGTTTTAATGTGAGAACGAAAGGCAAAGAGAGAGAATAAAGAGGCAATGAGAGAGAGTTTTAATCAATAGTTATAATTTTTAACTTATAAACTATTTCATAATACTAGTAGTCCTATTATCGTTTTTACCTACAATTGATTGAATTGTTAAATACAGGTGAAAGGATCTCAAAGAGCAAGCTTTGGACTAGTGATACCTGCCGCGTTCTATATTTCTCAAAACAAAAATTATTGCAATACGGATCGCCTGAAGTATGGAATGCGATAAAAGCTCGTCTTGATGCCATGTACCCTCCAGACGATGAAATATTCAAAATCTTTCAGTACGGCAGGGATTGGTTGAATTATAAAAAAGATCTTTTATGCCAGTTGAACAGGTAATAATACTTGGTGTTTGATATTAAGGTCAATCATATTTCGAAAAACTAAATCGTTGCATTTCGATTTTTCTGTAAATAATTTGAACTGTTGTATAAGCTTTATATTTTAAGGATATTTGCATGTTTAAAAGTCAGCATTGGATTTTGTTTTCTATATCTTTGTTGGTTTTGGCAGATAGAAGTTATAATACAGCTGGATTAGGATATAACCGATCTACTTTGATAAAAAAAAAAAATAGTCCATGTGAGCGTCGATGTTGCCTCCTGACATAGTTGCGACCTCAGAACGTCTTTGCACAATATTTATAAATATAGCTTTAGAAATAATTAATGTATAATTATTTAAATTACCAAACTTTGAAAATTAATAGAATTGAGTTGAATATATGTATATGGATGTGTGTATTTATTGAAAAATAAAAATAGCAATGGTAAAATATAAAAAATTGTTGGTCCTTCCATTAGCACTCCTCAGGGGTGCTTATCTCCCTCTCCCCCAAGGCCAATGTCGCAAAAACCTTCCCCCATCTCTTCTAAGATATTTTATTCCTCTCTTCTTCTTAAAAACAGTGCAAACGAAAGTAGAATTTTAATATCCGTAGATTATACACCATTACACATCCTGTGGTGTGTTCTATGATTCCACTTGTCTTTTGATTTGAAACATTGCATTTTGAAAACTCATATCCCCGTCGAAATGTGCCCCCCCTCTCGAAAATTGAAAACTCCATCCAAAAGTGCCTCATTCATTAATTTTGATTGCGTAACCTGGGCAATCCTGGCACTTCTTACAACACAATGCGGTCTCTTATGATAAAATGGTTGTCCACCTATAATCTAGACCATGTCATTTTGGAAGGGAATTGGTTTTAAAGTGCATGTTTATCGGTCTTACTCAATTGTCAATCTTATATTGCTTATTTGATGATCAAGCGTCATTTAGGTCATTTACGATGCTTATGTATTTGGAAGGATATTGCCATTTGTGTATTTAATGAAATAAAACATTTTCAGATTGATTTAGTATGTGTGTACGTATGAAATGATGATCGTTAGGTTGCACTTTCCATAGAAATATAGAAATGAATAATTTTCTTTCAATATCTTTTTTTAATTTCATAATACATTTTTAAACTTGGTATTGTAAATTTTTAAAAGAGATAGAAGTATAATAAAACTGCTCAGTTGCTCAGCTATGTTGAATTGCTAAATAATTAGCTGATCAGTCATAATCGATAATATTTATTATAAGAGAGAACAGAAAGGAAAAAGTTTTGCGGAACTAACATCCAAAGTACAAAATATACCAATACGAAAAAAAATATTTTATTAAATACCTTCTTTTTTTTTGTCTTCAATTCTTTATCCGCACCTGTCATGGCAGTGACAATTAGCAGATTTGTTCTTAGGTAGAAAATGGCATGATAAGCATGACGAAGAATGGAGCCCAGCAGCACCTCTTTCCTGGTCTGTTTACATCCTAAAATCAGGAAAGGAGATATCTCATCCAGCTCCTTTTCAGTCGCTTCCTGATAAGCATTTCAGCCGTGGCCATGTCGTTGATAAGTCCATTGTGATATCCGTGTAGTTTAAAATGAAATCGGGATTAGAGAGTACTTATGTGCTGGTCAATGGTTGGTCTTATATAAAGTCTTGTTGTTGACATACCACGGAGCTGCATTTATTAGTCTTAAAATTTTAGATTGAAAAGATTGTAGTTTTTGTAAGTGAGTCTTTTGTGCTCAACCGTAAATCTGTGATGCGTATGTCCAAATGGGTTTGAGCAGGTAAGTGTATGTATTTAGTTTTTGTCTAATTTTCAATTTCGATTTAGAAAACAGTGAGTATAGTATTTTCAGTCGCTTGTTCAAAGTCTATCTTTTCATTTTGACGTGTGGGCCTCAGGTCATCCTTCTTATTAAATACTTGACTGAAATATATGTGGATAAACAAGTGACACAAAGTGAATTTGAAATTTTTAATATAAAAAGGAAGCATAAATAAGGTAATCTAATATACAGGATGTTTCAGGGTTAAGTCGCCAAACTGTAAAAATGAACTAAAGACCTCAAAACAAGATAAAAATTCCCTTTGAACATTTAATATCAATGTCAATGTTTACGTTTAATTAATAAAAAAGTTAGAACAAATAAATAGGTTTATTTAATTTATGTAGATAACGTAATTAATTCATAACAACGAAAATCTTTAGGTGTGAACATCTCCTAAACAAAGCGGTTGGCGTACTTACCTTCAGAGGAAATATATATCTTGTTTTGAGGTCCTCAGTTCATTTTTGCAGTTTGGCCGCTTAACCCTGAAACACCGTGTATATCATGGTTTATAACAATATTTTTATTTTTATAAGTTGAAAAATAATTATTAAGCCCGTTTTATTGTTCCCAAATGTCTATGAAGATGAGGTAAGGCCCGAAACGTCGACAAATAAAATGTAATAACCAAAAAAAAGTTATATAAGAGGTTAAACAAAAACTAAGGATATTTTTATTTATGTAAAATAATATATTTTGAATGCATTTTTACATGATTCGTTGTTGTGTAATAAAACATTCATTTTGTTTACAGGGGAAGAGGTCTTGCTACAATCCATGAGGTACCAGTAACATTGAGATGTATGAAATTGAAGCGATCATTTATGAGAAATGTAAATATGACAACAATTCCTGACTATCTTGTTGGGGGAAGTGATCCTCTTGAGGATGAAATCAACCATCCGTTTGTCTTGGACGAGGGAGGTCCGCTTCGGGAGTACATGTTTGGTCGGTTTAAGACAGAGCCACCTCATTCATTCGAAAATACGAATGTAGAAGAAAAGGTCGACAACAGAGGGTCCGTGGAATATGAAACATTTCCGTCGTTCCTCAATTATGATTTGCTTAAGTAAAGATATTTCATTTTGTAAGAATTGTTTAAGAGTTCATTTACTAATAACTTTAACGAAACTAGAGTAAATTTGTGAGGAATATTGAAATATTTCTTCTCAACAACATAAAAAGTTAATCACGAGTAGTTTACTGTTATTACACCGAGGTAACTCTTATTCTTTGTTTATTTACAAATCATATAAAAATAGTCTGTTTTTAACGAAGAACATACTCCTTAGAAATTTTAGTAGAATGAAGAAATTTTAGTATGGCTTAGCATAGTTCAAGTGGAAAGCCAATGGTTCTTCATGAGTTTTTAGAAAATAATTAATCATAAAACGTTATAAAAAGGTAATGATAAGATGAAGCTATTCACGAAGATTTAGACGAATTTTAAAACTTCGGAATAAAATAATTAAAATGGTAATGAAATTACCGGTGATATAAGATTGTAAGAGGATAGAACTTGAAACCGACAAAAATACGTTTCTATGCAATTAAATATTTTCATATATTGCAATGTAATAGTTTGTGTAAAGCTGGATGGTAAAGGGAATTTTGTTCGTCATGTGGATTTCACAGACCCTGTAGATCTTTGGCCGATTAGACCAGCTATATGTATCAAAGACTATCTTGGGATTCTGCTATTCAATTTAATGTTTGCAACTCTGCAGCATCTTTGTTCATTTTATCCGGTGTTTGACTAACTATGAGGTATTTTACCAACTTGTTAGAGCACTCATTGTTGTTTGCATGATTCTTTATGGTTTCTATTCGAGCTACATGTCCACCTCCTCGCCTTCATATCAAAACAACACCTGAAGAGTATTTATGTAAAAGCTCCTTCTCGTAGGAAGGCTGCTTTTATTGGCTGAAGACTTCTTTTTCTTTTTAAGTTGCTGGTTTTTTTGGCGTAGGGAGGTGGCGGTCCCATCGCCCGGTCATTGTACCGCAACCAGCCACTGGCCCTCCAGGTTGGGGGAACACTTACACGAACACTCACACACCAAGTACACTTTAGACAGCACACTACAACACCTAAACACTACAGACAAAGGTCACCTACAGTACTCACCCTAGGGTCACCTTCCCTAGGTAGCCGCCCCGGATGGAGGAGCTAGTCAGGATGCTCGGAGGAGGCAGCCCCTCTACCTGACTCGGGGGCAGTGGGCTGATAACCCACCCCCCCTAAAGTACCTTATTACGAAACCTCAAAGAGAAGAAGCCGGACTGAATTACGGTAACAGACCCAGGAAACGCCTAAATGACCTAAGAATTGGATTTTGGAACATTTTATCATTACATAGACTAGGAGCACTTCGTGCGCTCCTTGCAGAAGTGGACACATACAGAATCGACATAACAGCTATCCAAGAGGTCCGATGGATAGGACAGGGAATTATGGAGAAGAAGTACCATACACTCTACTATAGCTGCCATGAAAAGCATCACATCTTCGGTACCGGATTTGTTGTGAGAGGCAGAGCTCGACAGTTAGTGATGCGATTTACTCCCATTAACCAAAGGTTATGCTACATTCGGCTTAGAGGAAAATTTTTTAATTTCTCTCTAATCAACTGCCATGCCCCAACAGAAGTGTCACCTGAGGAGGATAAGGAAGCATTTTATGAAGAACTTGGACGCGTGACAGAAAGCTGCCCCAAAAATGATGTTAAAATCATTCTTGGTGACTTTAACGCACAAGTTGGTAAGGAGGTGGCACTCATGCCGACCATAGGAACCCACAGCTTGCATGAGACCAGTAATGATAATGGGCTACGGATGGTGTACTTTGCTACATTGCACGGACTGGTTGTTGGAACAACTCTTTTTCCTCGAAAGAATATCCACAAAGCAACATAGATCTCTCCAAATGGGCAAACAGCATCACAGATAGACCATGTACTCATTAGTGCCCGTCACAAGTCCAACATGATAAATGCAAGATCTTATAGAGGTGCAAATATGGACACGGATCACTATTTGAGCATTGCCGAGGTCAGATCAAGAATTTCGCTGATTAAAAACCACTACCAACGACCAAAGAAGAAGATTGATGTGGTTAAACTTAAGGACTCAGACCACCAATATTCGTATCAACAAGCTGTGGAGACGAAACTTAATGAAGAAGTAATTAATGACAGCTCTATGGTCGATGAACAGTGGAAGAGATGCAGCAACGCAATGAAACAGGCAGCAGAAGAAGCTCTTGGCTACGAGACTAAATCTAGAAGGCCCCCATGGTTTGATGCTGAGTGCCTTCAAGCAGTAAAAGTGAAAAATGAAGCCTACAGAAAGAAGGTTCAGCGTCCCACAAGGCTCTCCCAAGAAACATATAGAAGAAAAAGATGCGAAGAGAAGAGATTATTCCGCGGAAAGAGAAGAGCTTGGGAAAATAAGAACATGGAGGATACAGAGGCATTGCGAGGCCAAAATGAAAGTCGCCTGTTCTTTCAGAGAATAAACGAGGGTAGGGCAGCTTTTAGGCCCAGAGTGACGGCATGCAAAGACACAAATGGAACTCTTTTAAGCCACAAAGATGACGTACTAAGGAGATGGGTACAACATTTCAAAGGAGCATTAAACAGAGGAACGGTGCCTGGAGAAGTAGGTGTAATGAAGGAAGACTCCCTGAATTCTATTGAACCCCCGGATGAGGAGGAAATGGAAAACGCCCTGAGGAAATTGAAAAATGGAAAGGCGCCAGGCCCGGACGGAATCCAGTCAGAGCTGTTGAAATGTGGATGTGAAGAACTCAAGAAAGCTCTGCATGATTTAATGCTGACCATCTGGGAGAAGGAAGCTATGCCTACGGAATGGGCAACAGCCATTATCTGCCCAATACATAAGAAAGGAGATCAAACAGAATGCGCTAACTATCGAGGAATCTCACTCCTTTCGTGTGCTTATAAGCTGCTCTCTAACATTCTTTTTGAGAGGATCCTCCCGTATTCTGAAAAGGAACTGGGGAAATATCAGGCTGGATTTCGAAGAGGACGCTCAACGACTGATCAACTGTTCTCTCTGAGGATGATCCTAGAAAAGACTATGGAGCGTAAGGTAGTCACCCACCATTTATTCCTGGACTTTAAAGCAGCATACGACAGCGTTGATAGAACGCAACTATACTGTGCCTTGGAGGAGCTAAGCATCCCTCAGAAGCTCGTACGCCTAATCAAGATGACCATGGACAGCTCGAGATGCAGAATACGCGTCGGTTCTGACGACTCCGAAGAGTTTAAAGTGAGCAGTGGGGTTAGGCAAGGGGATGCCCTCGCCTGTCTATTGTTCAATTTGGCAGAGGAGAAAGCTGTAAGAGACTCCGGTATTCAGACCAAAGATATAATCTTCAATCGCCTGACACAGCTTCTTGGTTTTGCTGATGATATTGACATAATAGGTAGGTCTGAACGGGCTCTCAGAGAAGCGTTTATAAGCCTTGAAGCAGCTGCAAGACCACTTGGTCTAGAAGTCAACGAGAGGAAAACTAAGTATATGAGAGTTGGCGGTGAGGTGGATCTGAACTCTCCATTTGAGGTAGGTTCTTTTAAGTTTGAGAGAGTGAAAAGTTTTATATACCTTGGGTCTGAAATTAATAGCAAGAATGACATGGCTCAAGAAATACAAAGAAGGATCACGGCTGCCAATAGATGTGTCTTTGGACTTGGCCGACACTTAAGAAGTAGGTACCTCTCAAAGAAGACCAAGCTGATCATATACAAGACCCTTGTTCGGCCTGTTTTGACATACGGCTCAGAGGCTTGGACGATGACTAAAAGGGATGAGATGAAGCTGAGTGTCTTTGAGCGAGGAGTCCTCAGAAGGATTTATGGTCCAGTAAAGGAGGGTGATGTCTGGAGGAAAAGAAAAAATAGGGAGCTCAGTTCTCTCTATGCAGACATCGACGTAGTCACGTATATTAAACTGGCCAGACTAAGGTGGGCAGGGCATGTGGCCAGAATGAGCACCCTTGAAATACCAAAAAAAATAATGATGGAGGAGCTGCACCTCGTAAGACGGGTAGGAAGGCCGAGGACGAGATGGTTGGACAACGTGGCCTATGATGCGAGAACCCTGCTTGGTGTGCGGAACTGGAGAGCTGCAGCAGAAGACAGAGCCAACTGGCGGAGGCTCTTGGAGGAGGCCCAGTCTCGGTAACGGGATGTTGTGCCATACATGAATGAATGAATGAAGTTGCTGGTTTGAGCCATGATCTTCCAGGCGTACACTAGCTTTATCACATCATTGCGCATGAAAGAATCGATGATTTTTGCAAGGAGATGCAAACCTAATTTTTTCTCCTCTTTTTTTACCTACCGCCAATATGTTATTTCCTTCAATATTCACCTCCTTCCTTTTCCCTATATAAAGTAAATATAGTTTAACAATATTTTATATAATATATTGCGAAGTATATTACATGAAATACTCCATACATGATCATCTTGCTGCACAACTGTTGGCTTTGAAATGGTACCTCCTTACAAAGTACTCAATACCATTCATGAGTTGTAGTAGTACGGTTTTTTTTTTATTTTTCAATAAATATATAGATCTCCTCATACCATCAATTCATTTTATTTATTGAATTAAAATTAAAACAACTATAATTTAAAATAATCCTTAGAGTGTCACACATGCATTTTGTAAAGTATTATATATTTTGTAAAGAAGAATGAATCTCACAGTCCATTATTGAATACTATTTTTTACAAAACCAATATCACTCTGACAAAGTTTGTTTGGCAATCAGAAAAAAGTTACATATTTTGTATGATTCTCTATTTACGGTACACGAACAGGTTTATTTGGCTATAAGATTTTAAAACATGAATAGAATAAAATATATCCAAAAGTTTTTAAGTATTGATAAACTCTTGAATGGCACAATATTGCTCCAGTTTAAAAAGGCGGGAACAATTTATATTTTAACCTCAGGATCAAAGGTTTTCTCAGTCGATGCTACGGTTTTAAATAAATGGTTGAACAAATAGACTTTATTCAATAGAGCATATGTGGGGAACCTTTTTATCATTAGAGC